CTATTAAAGTCCACATATACTCTTTTATTATAAACTCTAACCTTAAATTCTAACCTAACTAAAAAACAAAGCTAAAAAAAAATAGCCCAAAAAATTTTTAAAATTTTATATTAAAGTAATTTAAATTCTCAGCATCATCCCCGACAAATATTATTATACTTGGAATTAATTAATATCTTTTGTATAGTCTGGCAGATCATTTTGGTGGAAAGGTATTTATTAAATAATTTTTCTGAAAGATTTCTTCTCTTTTTTTGATTTACTCGGTATATAATTTACTACCTTATTTAGATGCATCTAGGATATTTAAAAATACGTGATTTATTGAAAGAACTCAAGGAAAAACATAAAGATCGTCGTAGTGATTCAAGAGAAGGGCGAGGTTATCAAGATCGTGACAGAGATCGTGGTTATGACCGTGACAGGCATAACCGTAGTGGAAGATTTGATTAGTATGTTGATTATATCGTTTATTTATATTTCAAAAGACCTCATGATATTTATTACTGTTCTTTAATATACAGTGATAGGCGACATACTCGTGATCGCTCGCGATCAAGGTCTCCTGATAGACGTGGTGGCAGAAGGAGGTCTCGAAGTCCTCCGAGAAGAAGATATTAATATCCTACTGATGTATGGTCACTATGAAATTTTTTAGGCATTAACTCATTTGATTTTTTGAACCACATTTTAGCGGGTCAGTGATTTTAGTGCTAATTATCATATGAAACTAGCTTTGGATCGAAAATTCTAGATTTACATACATTCACAATTTCAGCTGCCATTCATATAGAGCCAGGATTAAACACTTTATACTAAGTCGTTTTCGCATTATTACTGATATTTTATGAATTAAACGCCCTTATAAATTGTAAAACGTCTCGTTTTTATTGCATACGAATGAATATAACGATAATAAAGTGTCAAATTCTGGAATTGCAGGATCCGAATCTTCGGTTATGGGGGCTTATCCACTAAATTGGTTAAGGTCATGAGACCAATTCAGTAATACACGTGATAGAATGATCTACTGTATATCGATAATATTTAAAATTACCGTTACTGTATATACTATGCTACGTCAGTACATAACAGGATCTTAAATTTTGAACAATATTATGTAAAAATGCATTGATTGTTATTTACCCCACAAATATTTAAAATGGTAAATCTTGATACGGATACGTATAAATATTAGTGCTAGTGTTAGTGTTTAACGCACAATTTTCAATACCAAATTTTCTCGCTTTCTTTTAGCTTTGTTTTTTAGTTAGGTTAGAATTTAAGGTTAGAGTTTATAATAAAAGAGTATATGTGGACTTTAATAG